AGTGTTGCAGCAGGCAGCTTTTAACGTTCCTCCAACAACTGAGTGTTCATCATCCATTCCTGATGCGTGTAACCACAGCTCAAATCCAATCCCAACTGACCATCCAACCACAGAGTCTTGTATTTTCTTTTCCATCATCCTCATCAACAACATTTACATTGGTTGGTTGGGACAACGATGAATCGAGTAGTAGTGGGCTTATTGCCATTCGTGGTGCAAAGTAATGAGTACTTTTGTTTAATAGTTGTGTTGTTGGATGTGTGTTTGTGCGACGGAACTTTGATTCGATTCGTTAGTTTGCCAGCACGACAATTGGATTGTTTGGAGTAGCTAGCTTTTGTGCCTTCTTTGGTCTTCCTAAGCGTGGGCTCAAAGGCCCATATTGGACGGGGAGTGCCCTGGGTAGTTTCAGACCGTCGGTAGGACCTGGATAAGGACCGATGCATCGATGGAAATGGAGGTGGACCCCAATCGGTACACCTGTGGCTCCTGGTGTTCATCCACGCGTCCCTTGGGCTCGACGGGCACCGCACCGCTAGTAGAGGGTTTGTCAGGAGCGACTAGTTCCATGTCGCTTGCTAGGACTTGTGCCTGGTGTATATGTTGTCCTTGAGTAGGCCCAAACAAAGGTGTGCTCAGGAGTTGGTCCGTGCCATACCAGTTCCGATGCCACTTCCGATGCTGGTTGTGGCTTGGACAAGCAGGGGTGCATGAAGTTACCCAAGCGACGGAGTGCTGGAGCTGTTCGATCTCGTTTGCGGAACCATTCTTTGCAAGACATGCATAAGGGAGGCGGGGAAATAATGACATAAGCCAATCTACTAATAAGAGTTATACGAGTTTACCCCACCTTGTACGGCTGAACCAGCCAACACTTTTCCATCCGACCCCGAAGGATCTCGCGATCGTCGCTTCTCCGCACGAACAGAACCGACACCCCCAATCCTTCCGTCAAAAAGTCGGGCGCCTTCAACACAGCAGCTTACAAAACAAATGAGACAAATCCCTCTGCCTTCCATTTGAACTTACATGTACAGTCGTACTACAAGCAGATAGTTTTAATAGTAACGGTACCATGAAGCAATTCGACGACAACGCCATTCGTCGGCGCGAGTTGTTCGTTCTGACCATACCTTCATTTGGCGTGGACAACGAGATCCATGTGATGATACGCAGTGCGCCACCGCTTTGGTCAAAGTGGATGGACGCGGCGGCAGATTTCAAAGAGAAGAAGAGATTGGCTCAGAGGAGGAGACTCAAAGGCCTTCCAGATTGTGGAGCTGTCACCGAGCAACGATCCAAAGATAGCACTGTTTGCAGCCAGCCCGGATCCACCAACACCGCCACAACTGCATGTTCTTCAGGAGCCTTACTCGCCAGGCCGTCTATCATTTTTGACAACCAAGCTACAGGAGGTCTCGAAGGCGATCTTGTTGGCTTCAGCATTATTGCAAAGCCAGGAGGTCTGGACGAAATAGTTGAGTTATCAGAGCAAAGTGAGCTCACTGTCGATTCCACGGACGACGATTCCAATGTGGATGAGCTGGAAGAGAAAGAAGAGGTGGCTGTCACACGTACTTGCGCCATTGAAGAGGCGTTTGTTGATGACTTGAAGGACTTGACGGAACGACTGGATGCAGCCTTTCGAACTGGAATGTCAAGACTGGAAAGTTTCCTCGACGAGTACGACCTCAATCCGTTGGTAGTGGATGAAGAACGTTCCTTCTGCTTTAGCCGCCGCTCTTCGTCAAGTAGCTCTGTTTCTGATGATGGCTATTCAGAAATCGAGCTCCAGAGGCAGTTCAAGGCGGCAGCAGCGGCGGCAAGCCTCTTTGGAAGTGGAACCGGCAGCTTGGCGACTCCGAACAAGAAAGCCATCAAGGACGAAGATGAACTCCCATTTCGCAACTTCTTTGAGGAGTTCTGGTATTATTATCGCCCGATCATCATTGATATTCAATCAAGGCACACCCTCAGGTTGGAAACGTTCCTGCACTTTCTTCATCTCCATTGCGTTGCCTTGCCAAATGGCTATCTCCTACCCCACGTCTCTGTTGTGTTGGTTGGTCGAGGAAAATTTCCATCGGCAGCCATTTCGTGAACATTTCAAGTTGGCAACCAAACTGTTACGAGTATCCATCTACACGATCGCCCCTAGCTAGCACAAGGCACGGTCCATGTACTTTTACATTTACTTTAAGACTTCCGCAGAATACTTGCTTACTCAGTGATTCAACATAGGACTACGGAGGTACTGGAGCCATTCGCTAGCTAGAGCAATCCATAACATCTAGCTGCCAGCTAGAGACTGTACGGTGCATAAGAAAGAAACCACACTGTTTATTTGGATGTCTTGGCTACATACATGTACTAGGAAGTGAGCTCTATCAGCCCAAATGCTTCCTCTCCTGATTCTCTGACTAGTTTCTTCATACGGATTGAAGATTCAATCACATTCACGTTTGCCTATCATGATTGCGTTTCCTAATGCTAACGTTGAACAGGCTCCTGCTTCCAACAATACTCCCGTCGGTCTACCAAGTAGCCCACGTGAAGACCATGGAGCCTACCGTGACCATCATCCAGCTCATGAAAAACAAGTGGGCCCTCTTTGCAGATGACGCTTTCATGGAGGATCCTTCTTGTGCGTCCAATTTGGTAGGTTGCAATGGAGCATAAGTCACCTTACTGGGCTGCCCTGGCAAAGCCACTTCACACTGCTTGCTTTGAGTTTGCATGTTGATGATATGGATGGAGTTTTCAGGTGCACTGGCTACAGAAGCGTCATAGATACCGCCTCTCTTGTGTGTACGGTAGGTGCGACCGAAGGAGCAATCAGCAGAACCGCCATAGGGTTTGCCTTGCTTCATACCTCCAGTGTTCGGAATAAGCGTCGCCTCGGTGACAGTACCCGCAATGGCTGCACCCAAATCCACACACATATATCCACTGCTGCTGTCATCATAGGTAGGAGCGGGATCACAAGATCCGCAGCTTGGAGTGCAGACACATGCCCCGTCATCATCAAAGTTGGCACTGTCGGCGCAGCGGGAACAGGCAGGGCTGTCATCCGCCGTAAGAGCTTCGGTGACTTTTTTCAATAACATGCCTCCATCATCATGCAGACAGATGCCGTGCTCCACATCCTCGGCACTGAGGATGAAGTCCAATGAAGCCAGAGAATGATTAAGCTGACGACAAAGTGGAATTTACCTCCAAGACAACGAGGACTTACGTGGTCGCGCCAGTACACCCGACATAGTAGTCGCAAACGAGTTCTCCGTCCTTTCGATGCTTTTGGTTGAGGTTCTCCGTCAGGGGCGAACATGCAATGTAGTCACCAGCCCCTGCGTTGCCGTTGCTCAAAAAGGATACAGTGGAGGGGTGCCCTGGCACCTGGATTTCTGTTTCGATGCTGCTTTTGCTTCCACTTCCACTGGGACTAAAGACATGAAGCATGTCACCACCTTTGTTAGAAGCCACAACAAAGGAACCGTCGGGAGTCTCGTAGAGCGCACCAGTGGCATTGTTGTGCTGGTGGACAAAGGCAATGGCGCCATTGGATACATCAAATTCAAGAACACCTCCACCTCCAGAGCATTCAGTGTACAGGTGCTGGTTGATGGCGCTGTACGCGATAGCATGAAGACCACGGCAACCAGAGCCAGGGATCAAATCACTTGAGTAGTCGTACTTGGTAAGCTGTTGCTTGGTTGCAATGTCCAATTCAAAGAGAAACTGTTCTCCAGTGCTGGTTGCGAATCCGCGGTTGCCTAGCGTCGCAGGGTCCTCGTCCCAAAGAAGCTTTCCATGGGCCGGCACCTCTGACTTGGCAGAGACCTTGTGGGTGTGTTTTGACAAATCTGAAAGGCGCACAACATAGAAGTGTCCGTCTCCATCCGAGTGAGACCAAAACTCGTCCTGCGTCCAAACGGCGTACGTGTGAACACCGCGGGGTCTACGGTCAGATAAAGGCAGGACAACAGAGAACCGTAAGAGTTGGCTTGATTTGAAGACGCAATGTTTCAGATTCACACATATGCCGTTCACTTACCCGACTTGAACGGTGTCCACAACCTTTCGATCCGTTGAGGAGATGGCATAGGCATCTGAAACAGGTTCGCCAAGCTCATTGCTGTAGTCCACGCGAGATCCTGCCATCACATAGCCTTCCAAAGTGCCTTCATTGTCATACTAAGAGATACAGGAAATGGCGATACTTTAGCGGGCCAACAAGATGCCGTTGTGATGGGCCTGACACACGAGTTGCTCACCTGCATGTATACAACATCATTCCAGGACGTGGGGAGAGCCTTTCCTTCATGATCCTTCGTAATAGTCGTCTCGATCGAGCAGCTCTCAGGGTCAATCACAGCAATTCCCTCTGAGTAAAACGCCCAGAATCGGCCTGGAAGGTCACCAAACTGTTCATCACCATAGAGAACAGCTTGCGTCTTGGAAGCCAACAGTCCCAACATGCAAAAAGAGGAGAAACGCATCTTCAAACTTACTCGAGCTCAAAGCTGTATTGCACCGAAAGATATTTGAGAAATGAGAGGTTGAGGGGTATCCTTTAGATGAGTGGTTCTTCATTAAAGACCAGCACTAGGCAACCAAAATGTTGGACGATACACCGAGTGAAGTTCCAAGATCCAAAACCTCGCTGCAGAACCGAGGGCTGTGCAGTTTTCGCAGTTTTTTGGCATGTTTCAAGCCGAATGGAGCTGTCTCATTGGTCCAGACAAGTCACGAGCTTTAATTTATACCAGTGAAAAATGTTGACCCAAAATCTCGAGAATTTTTTACAACATCAACCCAGCAATATGATCACCTCTACCACTCTCAAGATGGCGATGCTTCGTGGTTTCCTGTTGTTTGCGCTCTTTTGGACAAAGGCAGAAGGTCAAGCACAGTTTCAGTGCCAGACTGATGCGGACTGCCTCAACAATGGCTTTTGTGAACTGAAGATCTCATCCGGTGAGAGGTATTGTCGATGCCCCAGTGGGTTTGGCGGCCAAGATTGTTCGGCAACATGTCTTCGAGAGTGTCAGAATGGTGGCAGTTGCCGCTATCATGAAGACATCTCTCATGGTTCTGATCAAGATGGAGATACCTACTGTGAATGTCCTGAAACCTTTCTGGGTGTCAATTGTGAGATACCCTTTACACTTTGCCCCGATGACAATCTCAAGTGCTTGAATGGTGGAACTTGTGTGGCAGTGACAGACAGCCCGTCCTCTTTTCGCTGCGATTGTCCAGGAACTCGCACTGGTGAAGTTTGCCAGTACGATTCTCCAGAAGACCCTCGCATTCCACCGTTTCAATGCGAGACAAATTCGGATTGCTTGAACAATGGTTCCTGTATTCAAGATAGCACGCAGAAGATCTGTCAGTGCCAAGACGGCTTTGGAGGTGAAGATTGTTCTGAAACTTGTCTTCAAGATTGCCAAAATGGTGGCAGTTGCCGTTATCACAAGGATATCTCCCATGGCTCGGATCAGGATGGAAATACCCTTTGCCAGTGCATTGGCAACTATGTGGGTGTGAATTGTGAGATTCCCTTTACTTCTTGTCCTGGTGGTGGTATTATCCGCTGTCTCCATGGTGGAAGCTGCGAGCCGCGCCCCAATGGAGTCTATGGTTGCAGCTGTCCTTCTCCTCGGACCGGAGATTTCTGTCAGTTTGACTCCAAGGATGATCCTCGAATCTCGAATGGTCAGAGCCATCAGAATCATCTGAGTATCAAAGAGGACAAATCGGTGGAAAAGGCATTGGCAATGGCACTGGGAGCAATCGCAGTGGCCGCCATTGCTACCTGGATTGCAATGGCATGCTTGCCTCGCAGTCGTGGTGATGGAGTCGACAAAAGTTGGAATGAACGCGAGGATACTGTTGATACAGATGCAATGACATGCTAGAATGTCCATATCCCATCCATTCTCACAGCCTGGTGTAAGCTACCGTTGCTAGCTAGTCTAGGAGTGGATAAGTGCATCTTAACATCATCTCATCGTCAAGGATACCGTACAATGATACCGTACCGTAGCTGACTGTGGAACATCGTTTCTCTGATCGAATGAGGAATAAAGTGATCGATTGAATAATCGAATAGATCCGATTCGATGCAACGGATCTTTGCACAATCACACTCCTTTCAACAGCAATACAGCCACAACACACAACCAACAGACAACCCCAAAGCAGATCTCACACCCTTGGTGTCCCTTCGTCTCTATTAGCTAGCTATCTATCAGCTATTCATTCAAATAAAATCAAGATGCCCGGCAAATGGTTCCCTCTCGAATCGAATCCTGAGTTGATCAACAAGTACATTAGCAAGTTGGGGTTTGACACGTCGCTGTACGAGTTTACCGATGTGTTTAGCACGGAAGATTGGGCCATGGACATGATTCCCCAGCCTGTGGCGGCTGTGATTATGCTGTATCCATTGACGTCTAATCAAGAGAAATTTCGAGACCAAGACAAGATTGTTTCGCCCACAGAAGATGTGTGGTTTGTCAAACAGCGCATTGGCAACGCCTGTGGCACGATTGGACTGTTGCATTCGCTCTTGAATGCTCCCGAGCCTCTCAATGCCTTTCAACCCGATTCGTGGCTCCAAAAATTCCAAGAGGACTGTCACAAATCCATGCCTCCCATTCAAAAGGCCGAACGCTTGGAAGCCGACGAGCAAGTGGCCAAATTGCACGATGATGCCACGTCGTCTTCCGACAACCAAACCAATCGAGGGAATATTGATGACAAGGTGGAAACTCATTTCATTGCACTCGTTTGCAACAACAATAAACTCTATGAACTGGATGGTCGAAAGGAAGGGCCCGTCTTGCATGGAGACACCAGCCCCAACACTCTACTCAAAGATGCCTGTGTCGTTGTCAAAAAATTCATGGAACGAGATCCTGGTGAAATGCGATTTACCATATTGGCGTTGGCGCCCAAGGCTTCCTGAGAAGAAACATATAGAAACAAAAGAGGGCAAAACAATAAAGCAAACAGCCGGGTAGTCTCTAGCTAGCTAGATGGAAATGCAGCTAGTCTGCAGCGACAAGAGAAAACAGCGGGAACGTATGAATCGAATCAAGCAACCAAGGAGTTTGTTCTCTGACTCTCAATTAAAGCTATTATAATAGAAGCTAGCTTGGCTTATTTCATTTTGATTGGAACTGGACAGGAAGTGCCATCGGGACTGATCAACATGTTGCAGGCCTACTTATAAAGCCCACCAGAGGACCAATCTCTCTTCGTATTTCTATCACCTGAGCCTTCTAGCTAGTGCAATCAGTATGTTTGTTGTACTTACCACTCCAACAATTAATTGAAGCATACATGACGAGAAACATCACCCAGCTCCAAATCACCTCCAACACGGCGTCGCCTCGGCGTCGAGTTAATATCCCTACTTTTAAGATTCGATTCGATAGGATGCCACCTGCCACCACCCAAAACACCACCAACATGCACGTGGTTGTGTGGCCCCATTTCCCATTCCATTCCATATAAGCCTCTCGATCCCTGCCCATCCATACCGGTAGTCCACTGAATGTTCAATCCCTAGGCACCTTCAGACTGGCAATCCTGGCGGCACTTATTAAGCCATTGCAATTACTATTGAATCGATTCAATTGATCATGGCGTTGTCGACATTTGGCCGACGTGCTGGTCTGGTAGTCGCAGGAACGGGCGTCTATGTGGGCACGTCGTATTTGGTCTATCAGTACATGACGTCTGGCAAGGCGGACCAAGAAGAAACACAACGCCTCCTATCCGAACAACAAGAGTTTTCCTTTGTCAAGAATCCCAGCCGCAATGAGAAGTACAGCGAGATTGCCGCTCGCTATGACTTTATGATCAACAATGACGAACGATTCATGGGAATGGGTGTCTTGAGACGATGCCTCTTGTACTACCATGCCCGTGGAACCGTGCTGGAAATGGCGGCTGGGACGGGACGGAATTGTCCCTATTACCCAGCCGGTGTGGATCGCGTCGTCTTGACGGATACATCGTCGGAAATGTTGGATCAAGCCAAACGAAAAATTGGAGACCTTTCCTCCGAACCACACAAAAAGAAATTTGCAGTACTCCAGGCAGACAGTGGCCATTTGAGCTTTGGCGACTCTACCTTCGATACTGTCGTGGATACATTTGGATTGTGCAGTTTCAATGACCCCGTGGCGGCCTTGAAGGAAATGGAACGAGTCTGTAAACCCGACGGAAAAATACTATTGCTGGAACACGGACGATCGAAATCCTGGCAGTGGGTGACCAAAATCTTGGACGACAATGCGGAACGGCATGCTAAAAACTGGGGCTGTGTGCACAATCGAGATTTGGATCAGATTCTGGAAAAGTCAGGCCTGGTGTTGGACACGGTGTTCACGTGGCACTTTGGGACCACCTACTATTGTGTTTGTCGGCCCAACAAACAAAAAAGCAACAACAAGTCAATGGCTAGTAGTAACCAAACAACAACACTGCCAGAACAGCAACAATAACACCCAAAACAAAAGAGGTCAATACTACCATTGCTACTGTTGTTGTAACCACAAACAGTGGAACAGTGCTTCTTAGATTGCTAAGATAGTTAACCTTCAACAGGTTTGCAATGGGCAAATTGTTTTAGCGCGGATAGAGATCATTAGAGTCGCTAATGTGGCTTTCTGCCTCAACGTGGAGGTACTAGTACACTCATGAAGCCGAAGCCTCCACTCTAGGTCGTTTGTTGGGGTATTCAGAAGAATCCTGTGTGTCCTTTCTGGAAACACCTGTGATGTTGTCCTTGCTCTCCGTTGCAGTGCTTGTCGTTGTGCCGGAGGGTTCTTCCCCCTGGAGAATGTAGTTGTCATCATATTTGTGTTCCCCAGCCGGCAGAGGCGTGTGGTCGACATTCTTCGTTTTGCTGCCATCAAAGAGAGAGAATCGTACATCCCACAATTTGCAAAGTGCTTCCAAACTGTGACAGCTACACGTCTTGCCAATGGTTTGTCCTCCGGGAAAATGCACAGGCATGGAGTTTACCCGGGGCGTTGGAGTTCTTCGGTTGGTCATCATTTCACTCGCCACATATTTGACATTCTTATGATGCGTATTGTATCGCAAGGCATGTTTCAAATACTCTTGGACCACTGTGGTCTTGTCCAATAACAGGGGAGAATCGTATCCGTAGGTTGTTGTTGTTGCGTCATTATCATTCTCTTCTGCTGCCTTGGGTGGTGGTTTTCGAAATATGGACACGTTGTAGAGCGCTGGTCTCGCCAACAACACACCACTGGTTCCATACTTTTTATGAAAATCCGTAAACTCTTGTCGTGTATAGAAATCTCCATTGATGAGCAGTGGCAATGTTGGAAATTTGGATCGGACCAGAGGCATCAACTCTTCCAAATCCTCCCAATGAGCCGGATTGACTGCCTCGTCTCCGGGTCGTCTAGCATGCACGGCAATGGCATGAGCCCCTGCATTGACAAGACCCGTTATAAAATCAAGAGTACTCTGCGTATCCTTCAACAGTCGGATTTTGCAGGACACGGGATGTTCTTTCAAATGATCTCGCAGCGTCTTGACAATGCGACACGCTCGATCGGGATCGGACAACAACGCCGATCCCATTCCACCACTGACACTAAACTTCTTGGGACAGCCCATGTTGATGTCAAATGCATCGACATCTTGCTTTACATGCAGCACGGCATCCAGTGCCAATTCCGGTTCCCCCGATCCAATCTGACACACCAACTTGCCCTTTTCTATTCGACGATCCACTTGGAACATTAAGGGAGAACGGTTCCCGTCACGCGCCAATTTTCGTTGTACTTTGGGGGCAAGCTTCGTCGTGTCCTTGATGTAGTCGACGGTTTGCAACTTTTCATTTTCCACGCGGATGGTATCGGACAGAGACCGGTCCACCATTTCTTCCGAGTACACAAAATCGGCGCCATACTGAAGGGCCAACGTTCGAAGGGGAGTCGTCGACGCCCTCACCATGGGAGCCAACGCTTCGCCTTGATACAATGCCGCCGCTTTCTCTGTTAAAGACACCATGGTCTGTTCTCTCTTTGGATTGATGGTTCTCTTGAGATGAGGAGAAAACGAAGCAAAAAGCAAAAGGCAAAAGGTTTGGAATGGTTGGCTTTCGTGGTGCCAGTCACCTTAACCTTAATGAAAAAAGAAGGAAAGCCAGCGCTGGCGCTGTGAAAACCCCAGTAGCTCCAACTCTAATGATCATGGTCGAGATGTTCCCAATTGCCGAAATGTTCGCAAGCCGAAAATGTTCGCAAGCCGAAATGTTCGCAGTGGCCGCAATATTCGCAAACAGCTTCACAAACCCACGCACCAAAGCTACCCCACGGTTCCGAGGCCAGAGTGTTCGCAAACAAACAGACGCACCTTCAACAGCAGAAACAGGCTACCAGTACCAGTACAGTGTCGGGAATTATTTTAAATAGTCAGAACAACGTAGTTGAAGGCAGGGCACACCCACTATTGTGGGAAAGCCATTTGGTGCCATCTGTCGGTTCTTTTGGGCATGGAGTCCTTGCAAACACAGAGAAGTTCACTCTTGCAGTTTGCAGCCACATCAATTTTGCTGCGACAAACCGGTAACCAACGAACTGGACACTAAACTTCTTGCTATTTTATTCTCAGTACCAGCCATCGGGTAGTCAGAACAGCGTATTTGAAGGCAGCGCAGAAGTTGCAGCTGCTGCAACAGCAGCGGATGCAGCCATCGCAGCTGCCCCCCAGCAGCATTCTGCATTGTAAAAGATGCATTATTGTGAGTGATTGGAAGAGTCGAGTCTCCCACTGTATTGTGCTGCAATTGCATTGACGCGCTTCCAACAGCAGAAACTGACAACCAGTACAGGAAGGGGAAATAGTCAGAACAACGTATTTGAAGGCAGAGTACTCCCACTTTGTGCTGCAATTGGCACATTCGATTTTTGTTGCCATCAACATGCGAAGATTTCGACCAAAAACACTGGGTGTGTTATTGCGTTATTGCCATCACCAGAAAGTACCGCTCTAGTTAACCAAACTATTAGGAAGCGGTTGAGGCTCTCTACGATGAGCTCCCGGCATTGGGACGATGGTTGCGCTCTTGATCTCTACCTCTAGTGTTTGCTTGACCTTTGATCCATTCGAGATCCTTTCACTTCCGCCCTGTCCTCAGTGTTCTTTCCTCCTTCGGTTGGTCCGCTCTCTTGGCTATTCGGCTCTTGCCCCTTGCACTCGTCCTCTCCTGGAGTCCATTCACACACATGATCCACACTAAACCTCCTCCTACTCAGTAGTAGTAACCACCCCGACACGAAGCAGTGGACAACATGTTGGATGTGTACAGCACTACTGATGAGTCAGATTCTAATTGGAAGATGCTACCATTGCACCATGGCCGTTGGATCTGAAGAAACGCAAGAAAAAAACCAGCTGGACAGAAGAAGGAAGGGCAATTGTTGCGAAAGCGCAGATGCCTGAAGGTGTAACGAAACAACGAAGGCGCTGTCACTCATTTCTTGGAGAGACTCAGAAAAGTGTAACAACCAGATCCTAGGTTTAATTATTTAACAACCCAGTTGAAGTTTAAGTATTCGCAAAAGAGTCCCAAAAGTACGTCAGATGTAGAGAGCCAACCATAAGCCTAGATGCCAGCATCATGTCGTCCCTAAACCGAGCGGCAGTCGTCCGGAGGCTGGAAGGTGCCCCCCGAGCTCGGCCCTCGACCAGCAGACGCAAGATCAGCAGCGACACATTTCGTAAACCTGCTACTAACAGAACCCCGAGAAGCAATTGTTGCCTCTCTACAGCTTGACGTTGCCTTTCATACCTCAAAATTTGCCCTTTTTCGCTGGCAACAGCAACCTACCATCTGCTACAAGCCCACCATAGACACCCAAGAAGATCAAAGCTGCGTCACAGATAGCCTTGGCTGCGGCTATCTGGCGCAAGCACCATCATGTCCTTCGAAGCCGGAAGCCTTCAGCGGTCTCTGAGGATAACTCTCGACCACAGCCTGGACGTGGCGTCTTATCGAAGGCGTTTTGAAGTGTCATCCAATGTCAGAGATGTCTTATTGAAGGTTCAGAGCTCCTCAGAAGAGGACGAAGTCAGTGAGAGCGTCAAGACCCTCTTTCGAGGACTCCGTGACCTGAAGAAGCTCAAGGCACTATCCTTTGAATCTGTGGAAGATGAGATTAGTCGACCAGGGTCCGTACCCCTGCAAACTATTACAGTCGCCGTGACACATGCCCGGAATCTCAAGGATCTCTTCATTGGAAATATTGTCCTTCGAGGATCTACGGAGCAAAACTTGTCAGCCTTTACCAGCGTCCTTAGGCGGCGGAGGTCCCTAGAAGAGTTCTCCCTTGTCGGGTGTCAGTTTCCTACAGCAACCAGGTCACCATCACTGGATCCTATGGTGAGAGGCATAGCATATTTGCCTCAAATACGAGTGGTACATCTTCAAGCTAGAAGCGTGAATCATTTGGGGACCTTAACCAGCCCGGCAGTGTCAGCTCTGTGCGTGTCCAAGACCCTAAAGGAGCTCAAGTTGTTCCAGTTTGACCTTACAGATGACCAGTTCATGACAGCTTCGAGATCTTTGGAGTCCAACAACTCTCTAGAAGAACTCTCATTGGGAGTATGCAATTTCACCATTGTCACCACTGCCGCCTTGGCCAAGATGCTGCGTCGCAATTCCATTCTCAGGTGGCTTGAGCTCGCCCCCAAGCAACAGATAGAAGACAAACTCCTGGTCCAAATAGCAGAAGCGGTGGAAGAGAACTCATCATTGCAGCACTTGGCCCTGGACGGGCGCTTTGGTCCTCTCTCACAGCCCGTCAAGGATGCTTTCGAGAGAATGCTGGAGGAGAACTATCTGTTGAAAACGCTGCGGTTGTTCGATACTCCGCAAACTCAGCCTGAATTCCACATGTACATCAGGCTTAACCGGGTGGGGAGGAACCATCTGTTGGACCCCAAGAGTAGTGCGAACCGAAGCGATTGGTTGCATGCTATCCACAGTGTCATTGACAGCCTTGACTGCATCTATTATTGCATATCGGTGAACCCGTTTCTGTGCCACACTACTGAAGAGTTACAGACTCAAGTCAGGGTCGCTAGGAGGGGTCACAAACGGCGTCGACTGAACGATGATCCCGACAAGACGAACTCAGAGAACAGCTCTAGTGTCAACAGTTCCTTGTCATCTTCTGAGAACTCGTCCAGTCCTTCAGGAAGTGAAGAGCGACAGACATCCACGGATACATCTGATAACCTCCCCCAGAATGGTAAGAATCTTGAGAGCAGGTGAAGAAAGACGGGGCGTTGCTTGTCGTCAACCTTGTATGCTAACCGTAAAAGGATGTTCCTGAATAGCTACCGGCGGTGGGCACCAAGTGACGTCCACATCCGAGAGCAGTAATACAAAAGACAAGGAGGAACGAAGCTCCAGCGACCAGCCTTCCTCCAATCCTGCTGCTGAAACCAGCACTTCCGCTGGATCTCGAAACGATTCACCCGCTGAAGATGCTAATGGGACACAGCAACATCAGCAAGCCCCTTCTCAGCAAGCTGTGGTTGAGCAGGGAGCAGTTGGAAGCCAGAATGATGGACACGCACAAACGCAAACATTCAATCCTGCCATCTCGGTTGCAGCAGGGCAGCTTTTCCTCACAGCCGGGCTCCAGGCAATGGCCCAAGCTACTCAGGCACAGCCACAACAGCCGGCAAACGTAAACCCTCACGATCAATTACTGGAGCAGCTACAGAAACTTCAAGGCATGTTACAACATCAACAGCCCCAGCAACAGCAAAAGCCGCCGCAACAACAGCAAATGCAGCCGCAGCCAATGGTCCAGGCTTCTCAGCCACAGACACAGTCGCAATCAATGGCCCAGGCTTCTCAGCCACAGACACAACAAACTATGGTCCAGGCATCTCAAGCGCAGTCACAGCCGCAACAGCTGCACCAGCAGATTGTGAACGCCCCGGCCAATGCGAGTGGAAATCAAGCTAACCAGCTAATGTCATTGGCATTTCCACTTCTAATGTCGTCTTTTCTCCAGCAAAGTCAAGCAGGGCCTCAAGGAGCACAACCAGGTCAAGCTCCACCTCAACCTCAAGTTCAACAGCCTCAAGTGATGCAGCAAATGCAGCAAGTTTTTACCGCCGCTGGGTTTCCACAGTTTGCTGCTAACCTGCCCCAAGCCCAACAGATGCAGCAGCAGTCAGGGCAACCGATGCAACAGCAAGGACAGTTTGCTGCTAACCAGCCCCAAGCCCAACAGATGCAGCAGCAGTCGGGGCAACCTATGCAGCAGCAAGGACAGTTTGCTGCTAACCCGCCCCAAGCCCAACAGATGCAACAGCAGTCGGGGCAACCGTTGCAGCAGCAAGGACAGTTTGCTGCTAACCAGCCCCAAGCCCAGCAAATGCAACAGCAGTCGGGGCAACCGATGCAACAGCAAGGACCCCAGCAGATGCAAGGTTCCCAGCAATTTCAGCTGCAGCAAGGGGTTGGAGGTCAAGATTTACAGCAGCAACAGAGTCAGCCATACGCTCAGGGTCAAGTGAGCGTTGCAAGTTCGGCAGCAGTGGCAATGGGTCCTACCGCCGCCGGCCAAGTTGCAGGCGCCACTCAGAACTCTTTCCCTCTTTACATGCCGAGGGACCAAGGCAGCTTATCGAGCTATCAATGCTTCTTGCGGCAACAAATTGAGCTATTCGAGGCTGGTCCAGAGGATGTCAAGTCGACGATGCCTGGACGAAACAAAGCCATTGTTTTGGGGCAAGTTGGAATCAGATGCAGGCACTGCGCCATGCTTCCCTCCCGGTATAGAGGCACCGGTGCGACCTACTATCCAGCCAAGCTAGATCGATTGTACCAAGCAGCACAAAACATGGCGCAAACTCACTTTGGAAAGCACTGTCGTCACATCCCACAAGAAATAAACAACGAGCTTGCTGTCTTGTTGCAGGGATCCAAGTCATCAGCCGGAGCAGGGAAAAAGTACTGGAGCGATGGAGCTCGAATGTTGGGTGTATACGAACACGAAGCCGACGAAATCTTGAGATTGGACCGGTCGAGGGCAACTGCATAGACTTTTATTGAATTCGTGGTTGTTGATCATGTTCCAGGCAAACGTTGTGAAGTACGGAAGTACTTTCAGAGTGTTGCATTCGTGGTGGACAGCAATTTGATAATTTGATACTTTCTTTATCCAAGAAGCGCAGAAAAAGGAACAACTCTACATTGCACGCTATGGCTAGATAACTTTTTAAAAGGAAGGTGGTTTGGTGTTTCTTACACCAGGTTTCATGGCGTCCTTTAACATTTCAATCAAGACCGTACAGCCACCGTAGCTTGAACCAAACTCCACAAAATAGTGCGTGAACCTTCCGGTTTTCTTTTCATTGATTCGATTCCCGCGCGCAAGTTTGAAACACGCCAGCAGTGCCCACAGGCACGTTTCAAACTTTTTCAAAGCGTTTGATTTTCCTTCGCCATTTTTTGTCGAAAAAACGAGACTTTGAGACTTTCCCTGACTCCTCATTTCGTTCATTCCTCGAACCTCGACACTCACATCATATCATCATCACTTCGAACATTTCCCTACAAAACCAACACAATGACAACCTCTCAAAGTAAGATGGACAGCAAGACTCTTCATTCAGATATCGCGTGGAACGCATTGTTGCGCGAGGTTCGAATCAACAAGATCAGTCTTCGTCATGGTGGTTCCTCTACGGCAACATCTGGTCGAAAGAAACGACGACAGCAAGATGATGACATTGCGGATATCAGTAACGACCGTAAGATCCGATGTCTTCGAATCAGCAGAGTCGGTGATGTCTTGGACGGCAGCAGCAGCAGTACCTTTCTCAATTTGAGTCCTCCTTCCTCAACCATCGGCGATGAATTGAGTTTCACGTTTGGTCGACATCATTACAAGTCCATTTCCCTGCCAAGCCTATCCAAGACATCATGTGCTTGTTCGGGAGGATCATCATCTCGATTTGACATTTTCTCTTCCTATCGCTGTCCCTGCAAGAAGAAGACTCAATCTATGAGCAGCAAGAAGAAATCTTTGCTGGTTGGCGCCAGTAGTAGAAAGATGCGTGGAGGCGACATCCTCTACTAGCTTCAGCTACCCATCACCTTTGCAAGAAGCGCCCAGGAAGTCCAAGTGGCGATTCCAGTTGACTCAAAACGGCTCAGAGCACACTCATTCATAAATTCATTCATTCAAACATGACATGCAACCGAAGCATCACATTACCACAAGACGACAGGATCTGAGATAGGACATAATGTTAAAATAAAAGAACGTACTACAATCAAAGTGGCCACTCGATTATGCTACATGTAGCTACCATGGTATTGCAGGCGGCGCTTAGGTTCTTGGCGAAGGACTCTAATCCGTATCAATGCCTCACATTGATTTCCATCGATTGACCCCGAAATTATTCACACTGGCTACCTACACTCGTACCGTACCGGTACGCCCATCTCTTCTTTTCGAATCGGTGAGATGGGCATGATCTTGTTTCCTCCGTTTTCAATATCATAAGCAGGTGTAGTGCCGCACAGAGCAGGTATCGCAGCTATCTAGCTAGAATACGCAAAGTAAGAAAGCGATATATAATCACACCGGTGAGCTTCTGTTTTTAGCCGCTATGTGATTTCGTAGAAACGGAAGTAGGCTCTGATGGAATAGATGACAAGAAATTCAAAAGTCTGGCTTGGGGCCTCTTGCAACCTGCCAAAGATCCTTCCACAAGTGATTTCCACAAGTGATTTTGAGACATAGCATGTTGTGGACCATCACAATCTTATTCCATGAAGCCCCTTCAGAGCATCAGTGAGCATCAGTGTACATACAAGGCAGCATACAATGTACTTTTCCAGCAGCCGATAGATTCGTGGAAAACTATCTTTTGCCCCCTGCTTTGCGTCCCTTTTTGCTGTTACCTCCCTTATTCGACGACTTTGCCAATACCTTTTGAGCCATTTTCATTTCCTTGGCCGACCCAATTCCCTTCATTCCAGCGGCTCCATGTTTTCCTCCTCGTTTTTGGTTTTGTTGTGTTTTGTTCTTTTTGCCAGGCATGTTTCCCTTGAGCTTGGTCAGGAACTTTTCGACATTTCCAGCGTACTCTTGTTGTTCGTCACGAGTTTTTTGTCGTTTGCGTGGCTTTTGGGGTTCTTGTTCCTTGTCGCTGTCATCGTCATCGGGCAGTGCCACGGAAGTCGTAACGACCACATCGCCGCCCCATTGTGCCTGTGTGGCTTGATCGTGATAATGTGTGGTTTTCTTCTTTATCTCCTCTGAAGATTCTGTCTTTTTGGTAGCAGCGCCATTCTCATCATCCTGATCCGCTTCTTCTTTTTGTTGTTCGCTGTCACTGTCGCCACTGTCACTTTCATCATCATCTTCTTGTTCCTTCTTGTTGTCACTACTTGGATTGATACTACTGTTATTTTCCAGAAACGCTTCTTGCGCCTGTTCCTTCAGCCGTTCCGCTTCTTCCACTTGCTCCAATTGTGCCTCTTTCAATTCTTTTCTCGACTCCAATTTGGCTTTTCGATCCTTGACCTTTTGCATTGCCAACCCGTACGCTCGACGTTGCTTTTTGCGAGCCGAAAACCCACGCAGATAGTCGCGACGAGCCTCGGGATCAAAGACAATTTCCTTGACGCGGCCTTTTTTGGTCGGAGCCGCCGCAGCGCCTAGCTTTTCGTGGCTCTGTTTGCGCTTTTTGGTATTATTGTTCTTCTTATTGTTCCTATTCTTATTGTGCCTGGTTCTGCTGGACGGTGCCATGGTTGCGGATCGATGATGGATGGAAGAGGAAGCGTTCGAAGTTAGTCTAGCTAGCTAGTTGTGGAACATTGACTTGGAGGTGTTTGTGAGTTGTGAAGATGGTTGGAAATGAGGGTCAGTCACGAGTGGATGATTGGTGGGAGCTTCATTCATGACTGGCCGTGTTTACAGCGCACAACAAATTTCGCGGAACAGTCCCCGAGAACATCGAGAACATGAAAGGTACCGGTAGATTTGTTGTGGATGGTCATTTGTGTGTAGACATTCGCTTCCTTGGGTCTGTGGTTGTTGATGCTGGTGTTGATTGGGGCGTCTACATCGTACCAGTACGTCGAAGAGAAGAGCTGCCGGCTATATGGAGGAGCTGTCCGAAACAGAAGATGGCAAAAAAGAGGTGGGGTCTCATTCCGAGGTCGACCATGACAGTGACATTCTGGAGGTGAAGATTCCCGCCCCTGCACCGCCACTTCCGCCTGGTAGTGCCGAGCAGTGTGGGGAAGAGAAGGGGATACCGGTAGCTCCAATTATCGGTGACGGGAAGAGTGAGCAAGCAGAAGCGGCTGAGAAAATGGCTGTCACAAAAGACGCAGGTGTGGGCAGCATTCAATCTGCAAATAATGAACCCTCAAAAACAGAGGATGATGCTGTCAGCAGAAATTCACATTTGGTTCACACTTGGCGGGAAGGAGTGGAAACCATCACTCAAGAAGCGCATCCTGTGTCAAGAGATATGCAACCTGATAGCGAACCGCTGGTACCAAAACCTGAACCACGGCCTGTGTCTAGCACGCACCCAGCTGCTCAACTACAGAGCTCACCAGGAGCTTTTGCTGTAGGAGGACGGCCACCATTCAGTTCCAGTCAAGGAGGAATGACACAGCAAAGAGTTAGCCAAGGAGAAGAAACGCCACGACCCAGACCGTCCGAAAGAGCCAGTCGAGCAGAAGAGCCGCCAACCAGACCCTCTCTGGATGGCCAGTCACAACAGTTGTCTTCTGACAGGTCAGCAGCACAAGTTGTAGAGACAGGATTGTCAGTAGCAAATCCCATAGATGAGCCAAGTAGTCACCCAGAATTACTACCCCAGGCTCAAGCCTTGGATTTGGAGGCTAACAGGTGAACAGAAACTCAACAATCAGAACAACAAAAGAAACACATCCTTCTGGCAGTATGCTTTCTGATTGTCATCACTGCCGTGGTTGTTTCCGTGACAGTTATGGCGTCGCAAAAGGAAGACTCAAATTACAAGGGTACTCTGTCGGCTCCAATGACTATGCTGAGAGGACCAACTGGCAGTCCATCCCAGGCTCCATCATCTGTAACTGGTGGTGCTCATCACCTAGTCTCACTGTTGCCGGAGGGGACACAGTTGGCACTTGAAGACACAAATTCTCCACAATCCCAGGCCTACTATTGGCTCATGGGTGACAGAAACCTTCCTTTCCTCACTGATGACCGCATCAAGCAACGGTTCACTCTCACAGCCATTTATTTTGCAACCAATGGAGACGATTGGACTGACAATACCAACTGGCTCCGTTACAATGTTCATGAGTGTGAATGGTACAACCAACCATCCTTTGGTTTGAAACACGTGCTGGCCCAGTTGTATCCAGATTACCTCATTGGGTTTCATGAGGTAACCCCCACAATTTGCAATGATGATGGAATCTACCACCACTTGTGGCTAGACCAAAACCACCTAGTTGGTTCCCTACCCCATGAGTTGTATTTGTTGACCTCTCTACAAACCTTCTCTGCTGTATTCAATGAGCTGGAGGGGGGGATATCAAGTCAAATTGGGCTCTTGACCAATCTGGAGGGGATGGATCTTGCCTTCTCCTTTCAAAAAGCCGGTACAATACCATCTGAAATAGGCATGGCAACAAGTTTACGAGTCCTTGGACTCGTATCAAATGGCCTCGAGGGTTTCATTCCAAGTGAACTATGGCTTCTGACCAAACTGCAAGGGTTTCTAGGTCTATCACAGAATCCACAATTGGAAGGTATTCTTCCTACAGAAATTGGTCAATTCTCCAATTTGAAGGTGCTGAACCTGGAGGACTGTGGTCTCAGAGGTAAGCTTCATCTCATTCCCTCCTAGCTAGAGTTCTGCTTTCTTGTTGAAGAGAATCACTCTATGCTCAGCTTTTCTGTTTCCATTTTCCGTAAGGGACACTTCCTTCTGAGCTGGGCCAAATGGACTCTCTGGAGTGGCTCTTCGTTCCTCGAAATGGCATTAATGGTACTGTGAGTACGAGCAAATACACACCATAGATTGCACATTCACCCACCTTTGCACTGATGTTTTTCTTTCTACATTTATGCACCACAGATCCCCACAGAGCTTGGGTTCCTCCACCAGAATCTATCAGTTCTTTCCCTCTTGGAAAACAATCTAACCGGAACACTACCAAGCCAGCTAGGGGAATTGACATCATCTACTGCAGTCAGCGTCCACAACAACCAGTTGACAGGGACCCTCCCAAGGGAGTTTGGACAGCTGACATCGCTTACCATGGGACTCACTTTCCATAACAATCAGCTTACAGGGACTCTGCCAACAGAGCTCTCCAGCATACTCTCCCTGCAAAATCTACAGTTCCAAAACAACAGATTCATAGGCCAGATTCCCAGTGAGTTTGGTCTCCTTTATTCACTCAGCTGGCTGGAAATGGCAAACAATTCCTTGTCTGGAATTGTACCTCAAGAGCTGTCAGCACTGCAGCAATCCCTCCACACATTGACACTACAAGACAACCCTCTTTTGTCTGGAAGCCTACCAGATGCACTTTGCCAAACCAATGGAACTTGCACCAGCAATATCTTGTTTCAGTGTGAAGGCAGCTATGGCTTGTCCTTTGACTGTACCGACATTTTGTGCGGTTGTGGCTGCAGCTGTGGAGCCAATGGAGCAAACAGCACAGAGTGACTTACACTATTACGGCACAATCCATCTTCCATTGTTTCAAATGAGGCTATCCATCAAGTGTGGAACCAAGCTAAAATTACCAACGCTAGCCTGATTACTATCAGAATTCTCTCAGTTGTTTTTAGCTAGCAAGCAGCAGCGAGAGCTGAATTGCGAAGTGATGATGGGTCCCACCTCTAGCTAGCTGGCTGAGGACTTCCTACTAGCTAGGGGGGTGCCTCAAACCAACTGGTTTTGCCCCTTCTTTTTTTACCCCACCTCTCTGACAGTTTGGCTATGAGCGTTCCGTCTTCAACCAATTTTAGCCGTCTTTAATCGCTTTCGACCGCCTCCAACCGCCTTCAACCACCTGTTTTACCACCTGTTTACCAACTTTTTACCGCCTGTTTACCGCTTGTTCACCGCTTTTTACCGCATTTATTTGTATTACCACTCTGGACCGCATTAGACCACTTTTTACCATCTTTTGGCCATCACATGTGTACCCAGTGCAGGTGGTTGGGGATATAATCACACACACGAGGTTGATTTGAGGCACCCCCTAGTACAACGTGGCCAGCTACGGCAGCTTCAAGAAAAGTGTGCAGCCGCACCTTGCTTTCACGCTTTCACTAACAGAATCGAATCTGAATTGCAGAAGTGAAAGGCGGCGGGGCGGCGGAGGATGGTAGCTACAGGATGGCTTTATTTACCGTTGACAGGTGTAAAATGTGAGCATTTTTTACGGTTATTTTTCAGTTTTCGGAAATTGGAATCCGGAAGTGGTTATTTCGCGAATCGTGCTTGATTTGCCGCGAAACAGCAGAGCACCAAAGAATAACAAAGAACAAAGAAAAGATCAATTTTACGATCATGGCAACAGTGTTGGCCAAATGGTCTCTAGCTCTACTATTACATTGTTCTAGCTGAGTCTGTCAGAGAACTAGCCCCCCAACACACTCACAGAGCCACCCCTTGAAGGGACTCAGCTATCTCCAAGGTTTCCTATGGAGCATCTAGGAAAAGTCAGGCTTGGATTCCATTTTGTTGTCATTCTGCCATGCATTTCTCCATGGGAAAGGTGCTCCAATCCTCACTCTCAGCACCCAACCTGCACTGTAGAGTCTGGTAGAGGAGTGGGTGGCTCTGCATGAAGACTGGAGCACCCATCCCAAAGTTTCAAAGGAGAATTGTTGGCTTGATGGCCAAAAAACGGAGAAGATTTCCTGTTTGTTTGTTGTCGGAGAACTAGTCAATAGAGTAGATGCCGATTGTTCCTTTTGTAATAGCACTAGAAGGAGCCTTCCGTGTCGTGCGTCTGCCGGAAGAGTCGTCGTCGATCCGTGGAAAAGTAGTAGAAGCAACCGTGCAGAATCGAATCGAGCCGTCGAACCGAATCATTGAATCGAGCCGTCGAACGGAAGAAACTTGTCGCCAGCATCTCTTGTTGTACTAGTAGTAGTCGCCTGTTGTTGCAATAGCGGTAGAGGCGTCATGGTCGCTCCGATCGCTCGCTCCGGCGTCATGGTCGCTCCGTGGAAGAAGAAAGAAGCGAATCATCAATCGATACGACGAACGGATCGTCCAACGGCTGCCGCTGCTGCTAGCTAGGCAAAGAAAAGGAGCCTGTCATGGTGGTGAGTAGTAGCCTTTGTTAAGAGGAGTAGCCGCTGTAAAGAAGAGGAGGAAGCATCATCTTGATAGAGTAAAGATAGAGGTATCGATCGATTATGAAAGAAGTGGTGTAGGATATTTGGTCTCCCAGACCATGCTCCTTTTGGTTTCCCCCTCAGTTGCACTCCGAAATCGATTGGCTCGCGTTTACTGTGTAAATTAGTGTACCCGCACTTCAGTTGCAGAATCAACGGTCATGTGGATCGTTAAGTAACAAGTTCCCTTTCGAAATTTTTAGATTGATTCGTGGAATAAAAGTGTGTTATTATTGAAGGCGCAGCACTGACTTCTCTCCCTCATTGTATTCCTATGGTAAACAGGAGGTAAATCCAAGCTTGGCAGACAAGAGTGGTAACCGGTAGGAGGAGTTCTTTATCGGCCGATCGATCCATTGATCGATCGATCGCAATGAGGTAAGCCTATTATCAACAGTGTTAATTGAAGGTACAGCGCTGACTTCTCTCCCTCATTGAATTTCTATGGTAAACAGGAGAGAATTCCGAGCTCGGCCATCAACAGGTGAGTTGTTTTAATTATTCGAATCGATCGATCGCATTATCTCTGTTATCGAAGCCTCACTCAAGCCGGTTGACTCGGGTACAGAAGCGAAAGCCATCCCTCATTGAATCCTATGGACCATGGGATGGCAATCATTTCTCGGCCCATGACGGCCAAGTTGAAAAACAAGGGTAAGTCTCCGGTCGTCCACAGTATCAGAACAGAAGAGAAAACCATATCTATATCTTACTTTCTGTTCTCTTACTGCTGACGGCCGAGGAACTACCATTGTCGACGAGCGATCGCTCCGGATAACAAGAGGAGAGGCTACCACTACGGAGGAGGAGGCTCTGTTAACTCCAGCCCTACCAACAGCCTGAACAGAGGAGCCTATTGTCGTCGAGTCATTGAAAAGGCAACAGCCACCGGAAGAGGCAACAACACACAAGAGAGTGGATCCTCCTAACGGATTCATCCCTTCTTGATTATTCCTACATGTTTTGGTGATTCCTGTGTCGTATCCATTTTCCTGTATGCGCAAGTCAAGTACTGTTGCCACTAGCTATACGGCTATACGGCAGCTGGCTACAATGCTGGATTAACATATTCGGTTTTGCTTGTATTCGTCATAAAGATCCAATGCGAGGTAACCGAGTGCGCGAGCAAAAGTCGAACCTGAGTGTGTTCGGTACGTTTGCCACTGTCACCATGATCGATGAACTCTACGATAGCGGCTACGATGGCTGGATTGACAATTTTCGTTGTGTATGTATTCGTCATAAGATCCAATGCAAGGTACCGGTAACGGAGTGTAGCCAGTAAAACGGAACCTGAGTGTGTTCGTACTGTTGCACTGTCACCGATATGAATCTATCGTACTAGGCTACAATGGCTGGATTAACAATATTCTGTTGTGCATGTATTCTCATAGGATCCAATGCGAGGGACCGAACGCGTAGCGAGCAAAGCCGAACTTTCGGTTACTGTTGCCACTGTCGTCGATGTAGCTATACGCAGCCGGCAACAATGGGTTGATTCATAATGTTCGGTTGTGCATGTATGTCATTCGTATAAGGACCCAATGCAAGATACCGGCGAACCGAGGGTAGCCTGCAAAAGCGAACCTGAGTGTGTTCGGTACTGTTAACACTGTCGCCGATGTAACTGTACGGTAGCCGACTACAATGGCTGGATTAACAATAGTCGGTTTTGTGCATGTATTCGTCATAGGGATCCAATGCGAGGTAACCGAGTGCAGCGACCTGAGTGTGAGTTTGTTCGGTACTGTTGCCACTGTCACTGATCGATGAACTCTACTGTAACTGGCTACGATGGCTGGATTGACAATGTTCGGTTGTGTATGTATTCGTCATAAGGATCCAATGCAAGGTACCGGTAACGGAGTGTAGCCAGTAAAGCGGAACCTGAGTGTGTTCGGTACTGTTGCCACTGTCACGGATCGATGTAACTCTCTGCCTACGGTACCATAGCTGGCTATACAATGGCTGGATTGCATCTATTGGATCCAAGTAGCGAGCAAACTGAGGCGAGGTCCTATCCAAACTCCATGTGTGTCCTCCGTGCATTCGCGAAACACATTTATTTTCGTCGACTTATTTAGGCGTACGTATCAAGATTTCATTCCTATCCATGTGACACACATACGCGGTACAAACAGAGCCCAAACAGAGCCCAAATGCGAATCGAATCGAATCGTCACTCATCAGAGATAACAGGATCGAAGCTACCGTACGGTCGTACTAGCTAGCTAGCTACCAACAGACCAATCTCGACAACCAAGAAGGCTAACAAGCAACCTGAGGGTACCCTACAAGCTACTACCTGTGTATATCTGTTAGCCTTCTTGGTTGTCGAGATGGGTCTGTTGGTAGCTAGCTAGTAAGACCGTACGGTACGGTAGCTTCGATCGAACGGTGCTGTACCATACGTGTTCGTTGGTTCCTCTTTTTCGTTAGAGTTGGGGATTTGTAACCGTGATTGAGTTCGGCTGGCTCCAACGTTCTGATTGGTCCTACGCGAAAACCATTTCCATGAAAGCTACGGTACGGCGAATTGAGAATGGGAAATCAATGGTTCGCCGTACCGCAGCTTTCATGGAAATGGAGGGAAAGCAAGCCGCTTTTTGCCGTTATCTTGATTTCACGTACGTACGGAGGAAGAAAGAGGTGCAAATAGGTGGTTAGGACCAACTCTGAGGAAACAGGAGACCAACGCTGAAAAAAAGCCGAATGTACGAGTGGCTTGGATCGATCGATCGGAGTGATGTCTAGGGTTGAGGCTAATACGAGTCCTCTGAGTCTTTTCGAAGAGCGTTCCAAGAGGTTCCGGTTCGCATTCGAATGTCTTACCGGGTGCGGGCTTGCGTTTGTCGCGATAGTTTACGTTTGGATTCAGCCTGTACCCGTGAATGAGGAATGTGTGTTAAGTTACTTGATCTCCGTTGGTACTGTTTTGACCATACATTTAGCAGTTCACAACATCAATCACGGATGAACATTGCCAGCTGGTCATGAGAACCCACACCGGTTGCAAGTTTTGCCACCTCAGACCAGAGTAAAGCTGGTCTATTGTTCTCTGTTGCTGTGTTGCTTGTTGAACGGGTATGGTAATCTTGAATGGCATAGTCACCGATGACCAAGGCAAGATTACTGCTACCCACAACAGCAATCGCCATAAAACCAAGTCAACGGACCCGCCACGGATATATTGAATCTCTCCTCTTGTAACCCTAAAAGCCAGTGATTTCCAAAGTTTTTGAAGAGAGCGACAATGACACCATTCTTAGAGATGGAGATGGAGCCACTGACTCAGGAAATGGCGGCGGTGTCCTTGAAGAAGCCAACGAAACAAGTGAAATTCGCGCCATGGGTATCGCAGATCACTTTCCCTGCTAATGTGGACGCTGCTCCAATGGACATGTTGTGGTATGATAAGGGAGAAATGCAGAAACTGGCCAAGAAGGACTTAGACATTTTGATCAGTCAAGAAAAGAGCCAGAATACTGGGGTGAATGGACAGGCAGAGGAAGAAGTTGTCTGTAGCCGTGGTTTGGAAATGTACTTGCGAGGGCAACTGCCGCGCCGTCATGCACGGAGACGATGCTACGAAACTGCTGTGTTGCGCAAACAGGCTCAGTTAAAGGCCCTCCTTGGCAACGCGACTGCCAATGCCAAAGAGCAAGTTGCAGAGCGACTTCAAAAGTTCCTGATCGTGAAAAGCAAGGCATGTCAGGAGGAAGCACGAGCATTGGGAGTTCAAGATGCCATTGATGCGCAGCAAGTCTACCATTCAGCTTCGAAGATACCGTCGGAACACGTGGCATTATCCAACAGTGCCTCGCACGCGACAAAACAGGCATTGACTTCAATGCAGCGGCATTCGCAAACCACAGTGCTGCGTGCAGCCTAGTTTCTCGTCATTTGATGAATCTTTTGCATGGGAAGATTTTGGAAACTCTGCTATACTTTTTATAACAAACGGAAATAGATACCTCTAGCTAGTGAAGCAGATCGTGGGAAACAATAGTTTGGGCATGATATGGTTAGGCTTCCCGGCCCTCCAGCGGTATCAAACATCGAAGGAAACATTCGCAAAGGGTGTCGCTCATTTGGATGTGTCTGCTCCTCTTGGCCTTGGTGGCACCGGTACCCCGATATCGATTGCTAATGTCTAGAGACGTCTCCAAATCTGTTTTCCTGGGCCATGGGTGGGCGTGGCGACCGGTCGCGGCACTAGTATCAGGGTCATGCCAGAGCCAACGGACACCGGAACACAGCCAAAAAAGGAAAAATTGTGGTCGACGTCGATTGTTCAAAGGGCCCACTGGCTCCCAATACCGGGCCACGTCATGCTGATCTGGCTGACAAACCCGCCCAGCCTAGCCCAATATCCACGCTCAAGAACTCACACCGCGAGCAAGCCAGCAAGAGTGATAGCGACACATCCTGGTGGGGGGATGGGTGCGGAAGAGAGAGAAGGAGCGACCGTGCTTTCCACACGGGGGAAGCAGCGTTCAGCACACCACAGCTACAGCCAAGAATACCGGAGCTTCAGACGCAAGAGCACCATACTGGTCGCACACCTTACTTGTGCATCATCATGCATCATCAAAGTAATTGCTAACTTCCAAGGAGATTCATCGGCTAAAATCGTCTGATTGAATCATTCATTGGCTAATGTGTAGCAAACTCACGTCAATTTTGGCCAGTTGCAGAGTCCCCACTTGTCAAGCAGTCAGTGAACAATTGATGCTTCGTCGTTCGCAGAGACGCCTCGCAGAGACACCTCGCATGCTACAT